ACACCAGAAGCGACTTGCAGTTTTTTAAGTCACTCCTGACATGAAAAAAAATTCCACTAAAATTATGAACATAAGTGACCTTGGATGGGTCATACAATTCAAACTCAGTTGTTCATTGATAGAGTGGGATTATTTCTGATTTTTTTTCCCGACAAGTTATTATAGGAACAAATTAAAGAAACTGCAAGAACTTCTGATTTATAGATTATTAGACTAATAGTAATAAGGATGACTATTAATGAACAAATGGCACTTGCATACTACGGACTAGGAATATCTTAAGCATGTTTTCTATTTTTAGTATCTTTGAACTCCGCCCCACTTTTTCATTTGCCTGACAATTTTTGATGTCTGTGATGTAAAAGCTCTTTTTGATTCCTTTTTAAAACACAATTAAGTCATCTGTCAATCTAACCTGCAACCATAGAAATGAACTAAGTGCAGAATGACTGCTCTTAGATGTAATGACAGTTACTATTTATTGCGAACAGGCATGAGCCTCCAACCTGTACTATCCACAATTATTTAGTGTACAAGAGGAGAGGAGAAAAAAATTCCATCCCTGGTTTGCACAAACCAAAATCAAACTGTAATTTGGTTGGGATCCTGATGTTTGCCGATTTTGGCTTTCTCTTGCCTAGAATATCCTTAATTCTATTCCATCAATGGTTCATCCATATCTTAAAGTGATAAGTGATGAAGGTCAAGACTTCATAATGCTGTAGGAGATATCTTTCATTATCTTCTTATTCTTCTATTATGAACCCCCCAGTTTCTACTGTCATGATAATCACTACAATTCTTCTTAATATTACTGCTATCACAGTAAGCTGACTGAAGTCTCCACTGGTAGTCCTCATCCGACTTGTAGAATTTTAAAGAATACATTAGTTAGTACTAATAACAGGGTGAGCAAGTTGAGGCCCTCCAGGTATGGTTGGATTGAAACTCCTAGCAGCCCTGGACTGCAATTTGTCCACCCCTGCTCTAGAAGTGATGAACACACATGCTACCTCTTCATCCTCCATGGGTTCCAGGTCACATATCCATGCTTTCACTTATTCACGTAGGACCTTCTGTACAAGCTACACCCCTTTCTGGCTGCCTCTTTGTCCATGGAGTCACATTCCCATGAGAAGTCCAGGAATGTATCCCCCATAGAGGTGGAGGTCATATCCTGTTTAAGGAGCTCCATTGGCTGCTGTTTACCTACCGAGCCCAATTCAAGGTGCAGGTGCTTATCTACAAAGCCCTAAACGGTTTGGGACCTGCCTACCTGCGTGACCGCATCTCCGTATATGAACCCACGCACTCCCTCCGTTCATCCGGATGGGCCCTGCTCACGATTCCACCTGCGTCGCAGGCTCGTTTGGTGAGGACGAGGGACAGGGCCTTCTCTGTGGTTGCCCCCTGACCTTGGAACACCCTCCCCAAAGACATTAGACTAGCACCCACGTTGGCAGTCTTTAGGAAGAACTTGAAGACCTGGCTATTCCGATGTGCCTTTCCTGAATAGGATAACCTCCAGCACTACGTCCCCAGAATCTCAACATATCACCTCTTACACCCAGCACTTTTTTAACCTGTACCCTTCATTGGCCCAGCCCTGGTTTTATTGCGTAATAGTGTAATGTTTTGTTGTTTTTATTGCTTATGTTTTTAATTTGCTTGCATTGTATTGTTATTGTCTGTTGTTGTTGTTGTTTGAGGCCTTGGCCTTTGTAAGCCGCATCGAGTCCTTCAGGAGATGCTAGCAGGGTACAAATGAAGTTTAATAATAATAATAATAATAATAATAATAATAATAATAATAATAATACTAATAATTGTATAGCTAAAACTCCATCAATCTTACGAGAGAGAGAGTGAGGCTGGGAGATTAGGTGTATCCCTGAAGTTAGCAGGGATACACAAATATTAAGAAAAAGGTTATGGGGAGTAGTCACAACCCAAAGGCACAGAGTGGGAGGGATAAATAGAAAGAAGTGTGTTAGGGGGAGAAAAGAAAAGCAACGAGACTGTAAAGGCTAAACTAATGACAAGGGAAAAAGAGACACATACTACTTCATCAAACTAGAGACTGAATCCCCTTAAAATCCAGTTTCTTCTGCCTCCTGCAGAATTCTGGGTTTTATAGTTTAGTGAAGCTGTTAAAGGCTTCTCCCTAAACTATAAACCCCAGAATTCTGCAGGAGGCAGCAACCAGATTTAAAGTAGATTCATTCTCTAGTGTGACGAGGTCCATAGAAAAAAAAGTAGTAGGTCGAACCATTCATTTTCTGAATAGGACATTTCCTGATTCACACAACAAGCTATATTACAATGTTCTCATGCACAGAAGAAGAGCTGTCCAGAGACATCAATGGAGAAATCAATGATTTCAATGTATCTGGGATTGGGCCTAAAAGAGTCCATCTCACCACACATGAGAAAATTGTTGAAATGGAGGGTGATTTTTTTAAAAACCCACATACACAAAGCGGAGGAGGGACCAGGAGTAGAATTCAGAATTGAAGCACTTTACATTTCCACATGGTGTAGCAGATCCCCTAGTTGTCATATAAAAAGATAATCCATTCTCTTCCTGCTCATAAACAATGCTGTGGTGCAATAGCTGGAGATACCATCAGCAATACATGGCTGCTAAACTTATCTCAAAGTATGCACTATATACATTTATAAAGCTGATATGGAAAAATACATTCAGTGTGTTTCATTGGTGGGTGCACTACAAATGAATAGATAGTGCCAAACTAAGCGTTTAGAGTTAAGCATTTAAAATATCAATCACAAAAAGATCACTCAAGTATCAATCTTTCTTCATATGTAATAGAAACCATTATAGATTATGTGCATAAGTATGGGCATGTTCAAGATTTGGAATGATTCCCTTTAACGGTTGCTGGAATGCAACCATCAGACACTTGGTATTTAGTTTACAACGGAAGCAAACTCAAAGAGATTCATCATATGCAAGCAGAAATCTTCTGGGTGTAATTTGCAATGGCAATTTCCCCAGAAGGATTTCACTTTAATTCCTTTTGCAGTCCACGTTGACCCTCACCCACACATATCTTGCCATCACATCATCCTAAGATTTGTAGTCTAGGAAAATGCATAGAATTCACTGCCACAGAGCTATCATATAGCAGGGAATTCCAAGGAACCTCACCAAACTACAAATCTGAGTATTCTATAGGATGATGCCATGGTAATTAAAGTGCTATCAAACTGCTCCTACTATGCAATGCTGATACATTTCGGGCTTCACTTCAATAATTTTGATGTGATGTTCTGCAAAGAGGGTGAAATGAGCTTTAGGAAGTGATCACAACAAGAGAAGTAATCACAACACAACTAGATTAAAAGAGCATTAAAGGAATCACTTTCACGTCTATCAAATGAAGATAGAAGAACAAATTAGCATAGTGTTCATGATGAACGGGTACAGTGGAAGCAAATAAACATTTAGAAAAAGAAGAGATAGAAATATAATGGTGGAGGAGCAGAAGGAATGATCTGAATCAGTAAAAGCATTAGATGGCTGTCTAAACAAATTGTGGATGAGTTGTACCACTTTCTTAAAGAATCGAGAAATGACACACTAAAGCTGAAGCAATGGATGACAGACAAAAGGATGCAATGTAGACAGTGCAATTAACAAACATTTTCATTATGAAACTGAGAAAAAGGAAAACCTAATCTCATCACAAGAAAGTTTTGTCATATTAAGACATAGAAATTTGTGTTATTCCTTTCCCTTGGCATTTTTTGAATTACTTTGCACTGAAGCTTGCTGTTTTTATGGTGTACCTTTAAATCAAGTCTGATTTACGGAAATCTTATGTTATCACAAGGTTTTCATGGCAAGATTTGTTAATGGGAGGGTTGCCTTTTCCTTCTTCTAAGTCTAAGAGATTTGGTTTTCAAGGCCGAGTGCGGCTTCAAATTCTGTTCTGCAGAGTTGGAATCCAACTTTCAAACCTCTGCTACACAACACTACTCTCAAAACTTTCTTCCACAGGAAAGAATCCTAACAAAAATTACAGGTTAAGTACACTGGAAAATTAAAGAAAAAAGAACTAATTGAAAGTGATGCTTATACCTTTCTTAGAGGAGTGAGGAATGTGCATCTCGTGACCTTTTTTTGTGCCTACAGGGTCAGCTGTTTGCTCTCAAAGGTCCGRTGTCATGTGTAAAGAGCATGTTGACCCAAGGGTCAAAAACATTTTGGGAAATATTTCATTTTTTCTGCCTCAAAATGCCCCATGAGGAGTGAGGAAAAATTTCTTCAAATTACACCCCCCCCCCCCAAGACATAGATGTGCTTTTTGAAACAAGATGTTATCAGGACGTGACCATTACTCACTTCCTTTTCTTAAAATGGTAGTGGAAAGCTCAAAAACATGGTAAAAATGCCCCATGTGTTCCTTTTGAACAATGTAGCCACTATCACAGTTGCCCATTCCTGTTTTATCAGGATGAAAGAACTTTTCTGAAGACAAATATTTGAAGATTCCCCCAGACTTCTTTTCACTAAAGGCACTGGGAATTACAAGCAGCTTTCCATACCTTTTTGTTTATTTTTCACATCCAACCTAAAGAGGTCTGGGAAACCGAAAGATTTAATCACTGCTTTGTGAAGTTGTATCAAGTTCTTAAAACAGTATTATATGCTTTGGTTGTGATCCTAACACAAATACAAATGCCAGTATGGCTTACAGGAGTTGCAGTCTAAAACATCTGAAAGATACCAAGTTAGGGAATGCTGCAAAAAAAAAAAATTCGTTGTCAGGGCTGTTTAAATCACACACAGCGCATCATCTTGTTGCTGATATAACTTTTGGACAATCCCTTCAACATGACAGTCATCAACACACCTTCTAGCCATTCTGTACTCTTACAAGAACCAAAACCGTTACCACAGCTATTTTGCCTACTTGGCTAGTAACACTCTTCCTAGTCCCCAGTCTCCCCAGTCCCACCCCAATATTCATTACCTGTGCCCGATGCTCTCCAACTGCAAACTGTATCATGGCAATGCCTGGGTTATGGCTATCATCAATCCTTTCCACGGTGCTGGAGTCTATTTTCAGGTCACTGCTAATTTCTGCACTCTGTATAAAGTCTTCTGTTTTTAAATCTTCTACTTTCTTCAGTTCCCCATTGGCCAACTGAATGATAGACCCTTTCATGAAGTAAGGAGGCAGTGTCGGAGGAGCAGTTGCCGAAGAAGGAACTGACTGGACCAAGGGAAGGTGGATCTGAGCCTGCACCACTGCTGCCTGGTAAGCCGGCTGACTTGCAAGTGACTCGGCATTAAAATTCTCACTTTTTGGAATGGTGGTTGTGACAAACGTGTGAGGCACTGCTGCCAGCTGTGGAGATGACGTGGCCATAGCAGGTGGTACCCCTGATGAGTCAATATCTGCATTGCCTACTGGTATTAATAGGGGCTGGGTTCCAGGTATTACTAGGTGCTGTGGCAGACTTCCAGGATAGCCAAAGGCTTGCTGTTGACTGCTCAGGTAGCCAATGACTGGTGGCTGAGTCCCTGTGTAGAAAGCCGCAGCTGGCAACCCAACGGGGAGGTGCTCTGAGGCGCTGTGGGTGGTCTGAATGACTGTGTGAGGCGACAAAGTGGCAACTGCTTTTACCCCTTCATGACCCATAGTCTGCTGTGGAGATAAAGCATAGGAGCGGTGGGCTGTTTTTCCTAAATGCAAGCTTCCCTTTTCATTGAGGACTGAAGGAGGTGTTTCTCGGTTGGTGCCATGCTGGATCTCCATGTCTGCAGTAGTTGTGTTACTGTTAGGGACGACCATAATAGAGGACCGGACACTGGAGGAATCCCGTGTAATATAATCAGTAGGACCCGGGTGGACAACCACGTGCCTGGCCTCATAATGATGAGGAGATGGTTTATTGCCAGATTTGACAAGATTCACTTCTGAGGATGGCGAGAGGCCGTACCGCCTACCCTTTTCTATTTCTCCATTTAGTATTTCTTTTGCTTGCATAGCCTGCAGCCTGCTGCTCTCAGACTTCTTGGTGGACTCCCTGGTGACAAAATGGCCACCTGAATCTGTGTATTGCACTACCACCTGGGAGGAGGGACCAAGAGCAAATGCGTGAGGAATCACTGTCTGGTGAGGATGCAGATGGACTGGGATGGCTGGAGGAGAAACATTTCTGACAGAACTCTGAGAGCTGGAAATGTGGACATATTGGTTTTGCTGGGTAGGTGGTGGAGACCCTGCTGTGATCAATCCAGGTGTCCTGACCAGATGTGGCTCAACCTTGTGCCCTTGCTGGCTTAGGTTGCTCATGCTGGCCAGCAAAGTGGAATATGCCTCCAGTTGAGAACGCTGGGATGGAGTGGTTGCAACAGCAGTGGCAGAGGCTGCTGTGCTGGTTGCAGAACTGGCTGTGGGGGAAATCAGTGGGGAAGGGATGAATCCGGCATATGGTCCACTATACTGGGGCCCAACAAACTGGAACGTGTGTTGCAGATGTGTGTACTGCACTGGGGAAACAGGTGTCCCTGCCTGTGACAGTGCCGATGGATACACTGTGGGAAGTGTTGAAGTGGCTGGAACAGACCTTGGAGCACTAGGTGGGGAATAATCCATGCCTGTAGATAGTGATTTGTGTAAACCTATTCCCTGCTGTGACCCAGCCTCCACCAAGGTCCCTCCAGATCTGCTCCGCCCACTCACACCGCTCTGACTGCTGGTTGTACTTGAGAGCCATGTTAAGTTATCTGCACGGTGATTTTCACTGGCCAAAACTAATGGCTTCACTTCAGAAGGCAGGCTGGTGGCAGGAATCTCTCGCTTCTTAGGTGGCAGGCTTTCATTGCTTCTCTCCTGGTTGGATTTCATGTTTCACCAGCCCCAGCCCTTTTCTTCTGTGGCTTCACTGCCTGGCTATCTCTGGTTTCAGTCTGCTAAGTGGAAAGTCACATTTGATTTGTGAAGCGGAACCAGAGACTTCATGAGGAATCATCTCCGTGAGCACAAACCTCTGCAAGCATCTCTGGAATGAGACAGAAGGAAGAAAAAGAAAAGGAGAAAAGAGAGAGAAGATATCAAAATACTAGCAGTATTGAGGGGAGGGGAATCAAAAGGAAAAGTACTAAGTGTATAGTTATACAATGTGCTTCCAAGACCCCCCTCTCCCCCATGGATACCAAAATCCAAAGACACCCAAATCTCATTATATATAATGGCACAGTAAAATTGTGTCCTTTATAAAATGGCAAAACAAAGGTTCGCTTTTTGGATCAAAAAAAAAAAAATTTCAAACAGTGGATTGCTGCATCTCTGCACGTAGAACTTCTGAATACAGAGGGCCAACTGTACCATAAAAAAGGAGTGCCAGATAGCCTCCAATGTGCAATCCTATGCATTTTCCCTTGGGAACAAATCCCAGTAAGAGTTGTAGGCTTACTTCCAAGTAATGACGTATAATATCAGTTTGTCATTTTATCCATTCTACATTTATACTCACAAGAAATTGACAAATGGCTCTCAGTAAAGTATGTATCTTAAACCTTTGGACTGCAGTGTCAACTATGTATGTCAGGAACGGGAGTTTTGGCATGATACTAAGGTAATTTGGCACAACATCATACTGACTCTAAGGTTGTTAAACAGTAGTAACAATCAATAAAACAAACACATGCTCTTCCCAAATGCAAAGAAGGATTCAGGATGGTAAAAATGTTATCAAGCTATATTTTTTCTTGCATTTCTTTGGAAAATTTCTTTTCCTATATACATCTTCTGGCCTGGTTCTGTTCCATTATCCAGATGGAGGCCAAAAGGGGGTGCTAGACAGAGAAGGATGATCCACTGGGGTGGGGTGGGGTGGGGGTGGGGGGGTTGAAGGAATAAAAGTATTTCCCACTCCCCGCTTTTCCTGTTATTTTCCCCTATCCATGTCACCATCCTGGAAACAACCCTCATTTATGACATGGGACAGGTGTGGGTGGGGAGAATAGCCAGTGAAAACGGGGGAAAATTATTTTCCTCCTTCAACTCCCCCACCGTAATATGGACTATCCTTCTGTCTGGCACCCGCCTTTGGCCTCTGTCTGGATAATAGAACAAGTACCCATATTCCTTTCATCTTCCATTAAAAAGCTTTGCAGGTTCCAAATATACCTCCACTGGGGCAACATGTGACGTATCAATAATCTGTCACCCTTTTTCTATCTGGATTTTGTTTTGACTGCTATGCATGCCCACTTTGCTGCACTTCTGAAGGCCCATCTCTCTTTGACCTAAGGTCTACCGAATTTGCAGGAGCAGATAGGCACATAATTGATTAAGACATCACAAAAATGAATCATCCAGTGTCAAGTGATACATGGAAGCAAGTCCAATGTTTCCATTTAATTCCATACATTAACTTCCAACTTGCTTTCTGCTGTGGAAATCAATTCTAGAAATTTTCAAAATTAAACTCAAAGACATGCTAGCCCAACCTATGTGACAGTAACAGAACTAAGGGGTTGTTCCTATCAAAAGTTACAAATATTATATAGTTCAAGAGTCAAGGGATTTTACAGGTGCTGAAAGTTTCCTTTGGCACTCACTCTTCTCCTTTGCTTTATTTCCTTTTCTTTTTTTTTTTTGACCTATTCACTAAAAGGCTATACAGGATGTATTTTCTGATTCTTGCAATCTATATCTGCCCATGCAGGTTAAACTCTACCTGCATGGTTAAAGTTACAAATTACGATAACCCCATATGTAGCTCCAATCATATCGCGTTCCCTTGTTCCTTAGTAACCAATGAATTGTGAACGGCAGCTGCTGGATGATTTGCTCCCTGTGTAGGAGAAGAGCATTTATAAATGACTGGAAGCTGCTCTGTATAAGGAAACAGCTTTAATAGACTTGGAGAGAGAGGGAGAAGAATTGTGTTATAAATTAAGATAGGAAGAGAGCTAAACAGCTGCAAAATACAGATCTGAATGTACTTCCTGCCCTTATAGAATGGCTCTGCTCTTTATAGTCTAGCAGATTTTAAGTGTGGGATGGCAGAGAAAGACTGGATCTCTCCCTGTGTTGATAGGAATACCTTTGCAAATATAGGCAAAATGTGGAGATATAGAATCATAGAGTTGGAAGAGACCTCATGGGCCATCCAGTCCAACTCCCTGCCAAGAAGAAGGAAAACTGCATTCACAGCACCCCCGACAGATGGGTCAGAAAGATCTTAGTAGTACCTAAGGAACTTGTAAAACAAATTGCCCCCCTGAACTAAACCATACATGTCAAATGCAAGGCCCATGGGATGAATATGGCCGACCACGTTATTTTATGTGGCCTGTGAGGTTTTCAATGCCAGTCTTCAAGGGCTGTTACAATTAGAAACAGCTCTTGAAGGCAACCATAAAGACTGATGTGGCCCTAGATGAAAACGAGTTTGTCATCCCTGGCTTAGGCCCAAAGAGCAGGACTAGGAGCATCTACCTGGCTTAACCTCTAAAACGGGTGGTAATTGTACAGATTGCATGCAACCCATGCTTTTTTCTATGGCCTCTGGCATGTCCCCTATCTCCCCGCCCCTCTTTTGGAGCCCCAGGAGTAACCTCAGGAACATCTTTGCTGAGGGAGTCTGGGAGAAGGTTAGGAAATGTAGTGGGTATCTTACACCAGCTTCTAGCTGCATTATCCTTTTCTAAAGTACAAATGGGTCCATTTAAAAATAATATCTGTCTATCTGTCTCAGAATATTAATTTTCCTGTATGAACCATAGAAAACTCGGTCTTTCACTTTCAGTTCAGAGAGTATCAATTCCTAGGATTTATTAGTGGAGGTGATATTCATGGAATGCCATACCTGGAACCTTATCTCGCTTAAAATCCCTTTAATTTAAACAGTATTGCAGGATAAAGCATGGCTGGCAGTAGTACACACAAGGAAATGGCCTAGGATTGAAAAATAACCATTGCAGCATTGCCCGAGTTGTATTGTTTCAACTTAGTGGTAAGAAATCTTTGAGGTGGCATATTGTACATAACCGAATGAATACAACTTTAACTCATCCTAACCGGTCACAACTCTAGGGAGGGAAGAAAATTGTACATATTGTTGATAGTTATAAAATTAAAAGACTACATGCTGGGCTTCTCTCAACTTGTTCATTAGCTGCTTGTATATGATCCATTTAGTTGATCTTTTATGACCTCTAAAAGACACTTGTTTCTATATATTTCTAAGGGACCCTGTAGACAATGAGGGCCTCTGATTCCAAAACATATGCTACAATTCCACTCAAGTATCTGAGATTGTGAGGGACAGCTCAGACTTCAACCATTTATCAGCTGTTGCCAAAAGTATTACAATCAATCTGTGAGATATTCAAGGGATATTAAGTCTTTTGCATCATGACTGTTGTGTGTCTTCAGGTTGTTTCCAACATGGTCTAAGGCAGGGGTCCTCAAACTAAGGCCCGAGGGCCGGATACGGCCCTCCAAGGTCATTTACCTGGCCCTTCCTCAGGGTCAACCTAAGTCTTGAAAGCACACAACAACAACAACAGCAGCAGCAGCAGTAGTAGCAGCAGCAGCAACAACAATCCTATCTCATCAGCCAAAAGCAGGCCTACACTTTCCATTGAAATACTTATAAGTTTATATTTGTTAAAATTGTTCTTCATTTTAATTATTGTATTGTTTTTAAGCGTTTTTGCTCTACAAATAAGATATGTGCAGTGTGCATAGGAATTCATTCATGTTTTTTTTCAAATTATAATCCGGCCCCCCAACAGTTTGAGGGACAGTGACCTGGCCCTCTGTTTAAAAAGTTTGAGGACCCCTGGTCTAAGGTGACCCTATCATTGAGTATTTCAGAGGCTCAGAGAGTGTGACTTGTCCAAGGTCACCCAGTAGGCTTTTATGGCCGAGCTGGAAATCAAACCCTGTTCCCCAGAGTTGGAGCCCAACCACTACCCCATGCTACCAATACCACTCACACTATTATAAGGATAATTGCCACAGATGATTATGAGAATTTGCTAGGGGGGAAATGGACACTGGAAGCAGAGACATAGTTAAGGTAATATAAAGGTTACAATAATGGAAGAGGATAACAGACTGAAATAGTTAAAAAAACAAACTAAAATATATATTGGACCACGTATTTTCAGACAGTTTTTGCTTATTTTTGCCAGTTACTGTTCTGATCTAGAAATATTATTTTATTAAGTACTTAAGTACTTCTCCCTGCTGGGTCGGACTTTAATTTAAACAACAAACAGCCAAAATGTTAAAGGTCACTTTCCCTTCATTTCTATTTTAGGTATCATTATTATATTCAAGCCCTGCATTTGATGTGGCGGTGCACATACACACACTCATATTTATGGCTACAAATAAATAAACAAAAACCCTGCTGAACTTCTTTTGCAGAATCTCTGTAAGTTTCCAAAGGTTTTCTATCCTTGCCATCAAATTTTCAGCACATTATGCAATATACGTCCATGACTATTTCACTACATGAAACCAATGTTTTCCAATTATACTGGTACACACTAGGTGGCACATTGACATGAATAATTTGAGGTCTAATCTCAGAGAAATGAAAGAGGAAGCAATTTAAAAGGGCAGTGTTAATTCAAATACCATGATTGAGGATACATTCATAATCAAGCAATGCCCCCAGTTTGGTTTTCTTTAACAACAACTTTTTATAACCAGGCACTAAGACTCTTTCTCATAGCTTGGCCTTTTCTTCTTATCATGCCTATGTATGGGCAGTATGGTATAATATTTCCCTGCTATCTAGTGCAGTGCAGTTTTCTCCATTACAATGGCACTACCTATGTATCTTAAATCTAGTTGAGAAATTGATGCATCTAGCCATTATTTATTGGCAACAATGACCCTTCAGTACCTTAGCATTCCAAGCTACTGGCCTCTTTAAACCATAGAAACAAGAGATCAAGTCCAGGGCATTTTAGTCATTTTAAGATGTGCTCTGTCTTAAAACTACAGCTTCTTTCAATGATCTTTATACAGCTG